AGGGAGGAGGGAGGGAGGTGGAGGGGGGAGGGGCAAACTAGGTGCGCTCGCGTCATATCTGACATCCTACCCCTCCCTCCCATCCCTTACCATGGCGTAGATCCCCTCTCTACTCGCACAGTCGGATGTCGAGCAGGGCAATGATCCCGAAAGGGTACGCGATGCATTGTAGAGCACGGCATGGCATGGCGTAGAAGAGCACCGCAAAGCGTAGTATCAACCTAGCATTGCATTGCATGCCGTGGCATGGCACGGGAAATGACGCCATCGCTGCAGCGGGAGCACGAGTCGAAACGAGCGGAAGCGCGGAAATGAGGCCAGCGCTGCAGCGGGAGCACGATTCGGAACGAGCGGAAGCACAGAAATGAGGCCAGCGCTGCCGCGGGAACACGATTCGGAACGAGCGGGGCCCGAAAAGGCGCCTCAGCGATAGCAGCATTTTGAAAAACATGCAAGCGAAAACCGAACTCCCGGGAATCCTGTGTGTAAAAAACGATACGCGGGGGGGGTCGAACACTCCCAGCACGTCATCAGGGGAAGAGGGAGACTAGTATTCATATTGAGTAATTGTGGAGGGGGGAGGGGGGAGGGAGGAGGGGGAGGGGGGAGGGGCAGGGGGAGGGAGGAGGGAGGAGGGAGGAGGGAGGAGGGACGAGGGAGGAGGGAGGGAGGAGGGAGGAGGGAGGAGGGAGGAGGGAGGAGGGAATGGGAATGGGAATGGGAATGGGAATGGAAATGGGAATGGTCAAATCGCGAAGCGAAAGGATTAATTAAGGAGGGATGCGGCCTCTGGCTCGTTGCTCCGACAACGGCAAAAGCTTTGGCCAGAGCCCATCCTCGATCCTGTTTAAACAATATTGTCGGGATGTGTTGGTTCTATGTAAACACTCGGATGCAAGCCTTCGGATCTGATCGGAGGAATACAACCCGCAGGCTCCGCAAAACCTGAGCTTCAAGGTTTCATGAAACCTAAGGTTATGAGAGGAATGCAGCCCCCCCCCGCTCGATGGACTTTACACCCTGGAGGTATACTTGAAACAACACCGTCTACGTGCTGCAGAGAAAGCATGGCGTTTTAAGCCAATCATTGAGACATTTGTTGGTCGCTGACCCCTTACATCTCGTACACTGGCGGCCACTATCGTCAAGGGTATGCTTGGTACAGAACCTCGCCACGGTCGAGGGGGCAGGTGGAATGACATGACATTTCTCGAACTCACGCCTCGGCGCGGGTCGACGCTCATGGCGTCCATCGTGGCCCGCAAATGCCTTCGCCTCACCAACTCCGCTCTTTTTTCCTGGACTGCAATGCGTGTGCGCACAAAATCAGGCAGCCTGTGTTCCTTGGCTGCCTTACCCTCGAGCTCGTCCGCTCGCTTGTTGCCGTGCCACATCCACGGCGCATACCCTCGCCCTGCTGCTTCAACTTCCGACAAGTGTGAATTCATGAAAATTATAGCCGGAGTGCAGTATCCCCAAACAGGGTTTTTAAACCCACTGCGGTTTCCAAGTCGATTGCGCGCCCGTCCAGTGCGGGCTAGCATGGCACGTTAAAACATGCCTCCTCCTCGTCCTCGTCCTCCCCCACCTCCTCTTCATCCCGAACGGCATCTCGGACCCCAGAGTTGCGACGATGTCTCGGGCGAAACGTGCTGCAAGGAAGTCTCAAGCGAAACGGGCCGGACCACCACGAGCGCGGTGTCTCAGAGCTCCGAGTTGCGGAGGCCTCCTGTGGCTTCCTGGACCCCACCTGGGGCTTCCTGAAGCTTCTTGGGGCTCCCAGGGGGGGATATCTAACATGTGGCCGTCGGGGCCCCCCAAAATGGGGGGGCCACAAGAGCAGGAAAAATCAACGAATCGACACCGGATGTGTATTAACTTGACACGTGCTGAAAGGGGGCCTCCTGGGGCCTCCTGGGAGCCTCCTGGGGATGTCCTGGGGACCCCTGGGGCCTGTCCTGGGCGTCCTGCGGCCTCCTGAAGCTCTCTGGGGCCTCCTGGGGCTTCCTGGGGCTCCCAGGGGGGATGTGTAACATATGGTCTTCTGGGCCCCCAGGCTGGACCACCTCTTGCGCGGCATCTGGGAGCTCAGAGTTGCGAGAATGTCTTGTGCGAAACGGGCCGGACCACCTTGCGCACGGCATCTCAGAGCTCAGAGTTGCGAGGATGTCTTGTGCGAAACGGGCCGGACCACCTTGCGCACGGCATCTCAGCTCAGAGTTGCGAGGATGTCTCAGGCGAAACGGGCCGGACCACTTCTTGCGCTGCACCTCGGGGCCCAGAGTTGCGAGGATGTCTCAGGCGAAACGGGCCGGACCACCTCGCAAGCGGCATCTCGGAGCCCGAGTTGCGAGGATGTCTCAGGCGAAACGGACCGGACCACCTCTCGCACGGCATCTCGGGGAGGATGTCTGAGGCGAAACGGGCCGAACCACCTCGCAAGCGTTATCTTGGAGCTTGGAATTGCGAGGATGTCTGAGGCGAAACGGGCCGGACCACCTCTCGCACGGCACCTCGGGGCTCAGAGTTTCGAGGATGTCTCAAGCGAAACGGCCCGGACCACCTCTCGCGCGGCGTCCCGGAGCGCAATTTTTCGAGGATGTCTCAGGCGAAACGGCCAATCCCGGCCAACTCAGAAACGAGAGTTGTGAGGATGTCCCAAGCGAAACGGCCCGGACCATCAGATTTTTGTGAGGATGTCTCTGCTCCCCTTTTTTTTCATCGGCCGGAGTTAGCTTCTATCACAACAGCACCCCGTTCAGCAAGCTGTTTGGGGAATGACTGAAACTCGGCCGTGTCGAGATCCAGCTGCTTGCATATGTCGACCGATGGCTTGCCACATATCAACGTCCGATTGCGCTTCACGAGGGCGGAGGTAGACTCGAGAACTCCAGCCTGTCTCCACCCCCTCGTTGTCAGTGAGATACAGGGCCGCGCCCTGAGTGCATCGGAGGACATCCTCTAGCACGGCCAGCTCGCCTCGATATACTGTCTAACGGCGCCCGCTCAGTGGCGAACGCGCCTCTAACAGTAACTGGCTCACGCTGCTCGATGATGATGAAGCCCATGCCGACGCGCCTCAGCTTCGGCGAGTGAGTGTCGGCCCCCCCGCTGGCATCTCCACAAATGTAGAGCGGCTGGTCATCGGTTCCGACGGCGAGGACTGGGTCATCACCTTCTCGATCTGGTGCGAAGGTCCAGAGCTCCTGCGCCATGGGCGCTGGAGCCTCGGTCCACTCCCGTGGGAGAAGCCCTCGCAGCCAAAAACATTCGTACTGCTCGTGCTGGCTGAGGGCCTGGCTCGCGTACTGGTCGGAGTCGCGGTAGGCCTGGTGCCCCGTGTTCTGAGGGCAAAGCCAACGCCTGTGCAGCGGCGTCTCGATGTGGCGCTCGCCGTGGAGCAAGCACCTGGGACATAGCTTGAACTCAGGATCGTCCACGTCGAACCTCGCTCTGGGCCATGTCCCTCCTGTGGCTACTGCGAGCATCGTCTCTGACCACTGCGCCCCGCTGGGCGCTTCGGCCAGTCGATGCCCTGCGCCGCGCCCTCGCCACAGTAATGCGAAGCCGCCTGCTGCCATAAGAAATCTGTCACCGATGTGGTCAGCTAGACTGTCGCTGAAGTCCTCGCAACCTGTCAACTGTGCATCATCAAAGTGCCACTCGATCTGCTCACTCATGCCCTCGCCGCGATGGAGTTGCCAATGTGAGGGCTCGATCGGGCCCCACTGATGCTGCAGCGACATGGCTATCACTGCGCTGACTGGCCCACGAACGTGGCGAGCCCTTTCAGCACTCGTGAGCGCCTTCATTTTATTGACAATACTTGGCCATATCTTTCTGACTGACGATCTGACCTCCTCGTTAGACATCCAGAGTCGTAGCCATTCGCTCAAACATTCTCTGCTCAATCTAATCTGACGGCTGGATCTTGGTTCGGGGCTCTCAGATCTAGTGTTGTGGTAAGGCAGCGTCCTCTGCGGTTGAACCCGCAGACTGTGCCTAACCGACGTTTAAGACCCAAAAGCTCTGTGCCGAACATGCCGTGTATCTGATGCTCATAGTGGGTTACTGTTTGCCCTGCCACCTAATGTGGCCGTCACCAAGCATTTCCTGCTCGCCTTGGCCCAACGTGAAGTCTTCTGATTGCGCCCTTTAGCTTTTAACACTCTTCCTCGCCGAGTAGCTCGCCCCAGTCGGCGATCTGCTGCAAGATCTACTCCAAGGTATGCGGATTGAATCACAGGTCGCAAGACATGTCCTTTGCGGCGTAGGGCTGCTGCTATCTTCTTGGCCTCCTGGTGCCTGGATGCGATCAAGACACTCTTGGGCGCCGCCGACAACTGCTCCTCAGCAAGAAGATCATATGTGTCTGCAACCCCTTTGACCATTGTCTTGAAATCATGTCGCTCCGACCCCGCGGCTGACTCACTGAGGTCGTCGATCCAGATGCGCACGCTAAGACCCGGGTTGCCGTCTGTGAGTCGCTTCAGAACAAAGTGTGTCGCACATTTGCCGAAACGTGTCCCGTTCCGCAGGCCCTGGATGATCGACCTCGCCACCTGAAAGGGGATGCATGTCGGCCCCAAGTGGGTCATCATCCTCGGCGCAGTGCAGAGTTGTAGCTCTAAAACATGCAACAACTGGTGGGCAGTCTAGCTTGAGTGCTGCGTAAGCAAGGCACGCCCAGGTCACCGCGTCGTAGAAGGACGGGATGTCCAAGATGGCGCGCGCGTAGGAGACGCCGAGCACCCCGTAGATCTCCTCGTGCATTGTCTTGGGAAAGGCCTCCCTGGGAGCTGAGTTTCCCGCCAACGCGGCGCCCCAACTCTCACTTGTCTCTATCGTCCACGGCTTCATGACTTCCTCACGAATCATGGGCCATATCCTGCACG